TCTCTGTGCATGTGCGTAGGTCCCCATTGGTCCAGTTAGAATTGGAGAGGCTGCAACGTGTGTTTTTGCAGCAGAATTTTGGTGATCGTTGTGCGTCCGATGACGACGCTAGAAGTGTTTCATGCTCTGATGACGAATTGGGGAATAATGCCATGAATGATGAGGATGACCCGGGGTACCTCTCCGATGAATTGGATTGGGACCCGGATGGGACCCCGCTCCCAAGACGGGTGTTGCGTATGAGCGGATGGTGCCCAACACGCTGGAACTCGGTGTATTTCCTTATCCGACGTGTGTTGCTGCTTGAGCAATCGATTCGCAGATATATGTCCTCCAAGAAAGGGGAGATCGCTGCAGAGAAAGAGAAGAAAAAAAGAGCTAAGGGGAAGCAAGGAGGACAAGAGGAACAGGAGGAAGAGAAGGATGCCAACTACATATTTGAGCGCCATGTGTGGGCGGGGTTGCAGCAGTTGCGGGGCGTTTTGGAACCCATCAGGGAAGTATCTGAGCGCCTTGAAGGCGACCAGTACGTCACTATTTCAGATACATTATACTTTTTATTGAAGTTGATATATGACAAGGTGGGTACAGTGGATGATAGTACGGCGGGCAGTGATGCGGGCTACATCTTCGCGACGGCTTTTAAGACGAAATTGCTTAGCATAGTAGATGATCCGATGTTGGTATATTCGTGGGGTCTTCAGCCGCAATGGATGGTAGGAGGTGCCATTTACAGTGGATGCAAAGAATATGGGATAATAAAAGTGACTGGCCTATGGTCACAGAGGACTACCCGACGTTCAAGAGTTTCATTGACATGCTCATGTTGGAAGTTTCCAAATTGGTGAGTGGCACACGTAGTGCAGTGTGTTTGTAGTGATGAGTATGCATATTGTGATGATGAAAACGTGATGATGTACAAGTGGCACTTCGGGGTACCGGCCAGTAGGCCGGGACAGAAGTTTGTTTGGTTGTATGTCAAAATGCAAGTATTTTGTTGATTTGCAGTTCCGCCACTTGAAGGTACCGGCCTTGAGGCCGGTAAAGAAATTGTCTTGTTTTCATATCGAAATGCATATCTGTGTTGGATTTATAATTGGACGCCCATGTGAATGGCCCCACTGCAATTTTGGACACCGCGGCTTCACTTTCTGGTGGTGACGAGGCGCCCAATGTCAGTCTCAACATGTGAGTTGGTTGGACGAGGCCACTGACCCGAGGGACAGGGGGGAGTTGCGCCCAGGAAGAAGAACTTTATCCAGGAAGCGTCATCCCAACCACCCGACATTCCCTGACAACATCGAGACAGCCGTTGCAGAGTGGTTTAAGTACACTTGGCAACCAAAAGGTCAACAAAAACGCTGGTCAGCAGAAGATTGGTGGCGTAGCAATGAGTCTAGGTTTTTTCTAATTGCCAAACTGGCGCGGAGGGTGCTGGCCACGCAGGTGAGGTGGCGCGTCCCGGACTTTCTGCCCACATATTTGTTTGTCCATCTGTGTTGCTGCTGGCCACATTGGCCCATACCAGTTGTGGGATGTTGTATTGGGGTTGACGCCATGCTTTTCCATGTGCAGGCATCCTCTGCATCATCAGAGCGGAGTTTTTCCAAGGCCGGCTTGGTGGTGGCCGCGAAAAGGATGGTCATGACCCCTGCTAATGTCGATAGGTGAGGTGGCGCATCCGTAGCTATCCACTTGCATATTTATTTCTCCATCTTCGTTCTTGCTGAACCCATTGGCGAAGTCCAGAGCAGGGTTGAAGGTTTTCCTTTTTTTTTGTATGTGCAGGGGGTCGTTGGTGGGATGGTACATGCAACGTCAAGGGTGGGAAGACCGCCGCGTAAAGAAAAAGAAGCGTAGAAGGAGCATGGGAGCACGCACCAGGTTATGGAGGCGTCCAACTGAGCGCAAGAAGTCCAAGACGTCATAAAAAACCACACCACAGTCCCCACAATCCAAGTCCAAGTCATCAGACGGTTCGCCATGATTAATTTTGTTATAGTTGCTGCAAAAGATTACTAGCCATTCATTACCACAGCGAGTACCGGCCGTGGGTTGGCCGGGAAAACGCAGTGGGGGATTGCCTTTGGGCCCGGTGTGTGTTTATGTAAGTAGTGTAGCGTTTGCAAGGGATGGCTGGGCAAGAACAGCGGTTCGCGTCCCCTGTCTGGCAAGGAGTACCGGCCGTGGGTTGGCCGGGAAAACGCAGCGGGGGATTGCCTTTGGGCCCGGTGTGTGTTTATGTAAGTAGTGTAGCGTTTGCAAGGGATGGCTGGGAAAGAACCACGGTTCGCGTCCCCTGTTTGGCAAGGAGTACCGGCCGTGGGTTGGCCGGGAAAACGCAGCGGGGGATTGCCTTTGGGCCCGGTGTGTGTTTATGTAAGTAGTGTAGCGTTTGCAAGGGATGGCTGGGAAAGAACAGCGGTTCGCGTCCCCTGTCTGGCAAGGAGTACCGGCCGAGGTAGCACTTATGATGGCGTGGACTGCAAATAGGGAGACATGCATTGTTTATACATGTATTAATATTGCACCTCGTTATATCACTGCTGTGGCCCCCTATGTACAGGCAAAAATTGCCTCCAACAGAAACCGCTGTTGACCAACGGAACACTACCAGAATCTCAAATTCCGTGACGGATGGCAACGGAACGCCAGGAAAGGCAACGGAAAAAAAACACCTTTTACAGAAGCCGTTGGCTGCAAACACCCCCTTGACGGACAGCTCCAGAGCCAGAAAATTGAAAGCTGACGTGGCATGAACGCCTACGGAAACCCGGCCCCGGCAAAGTGATGGAAAATCGACGGACGGAATACTCGTGTTCAAAAAAAGTACAGACAGAAAATAACAGAAAAAAAGCTGAGCGGCCATGTCTATATATAGAGGTGTTTTAAGGAAATCATTTGCAAAAATTTTCACCTCAAGCGGATCCTTGGTGAACAAGATACGGCATTTTATGTGCGATGGTGCCATTTTGGATGGAGGAGTTGCCCCCTATGCGACCTGCCATGGGGCGCGGTGAGACGGATTCAGGAGGGGCGCGTGGAGGCGCCACATAACTATTTGATGGGGATATGGCCCATGGGGCATTACGTGGCGGGGAAACAGGGCGCCCCGGTGTGATTTGTGGTGACACGGTAGTGTGGCACACAGATTCCGCGGAATCAAAAGTTGCTGTTTCATATGGGGGGGCGTTTCAAAACCGGAGGAGCTTACAAGTACTAGGGGCGCGGACAGCGCCATGGGGGAGTCGCCATTGTTGCACTCGGCATGGCAGCTGTAACAACAGTTGTGTAGGGTCCGTGTGCGTCTCGCGCGGTGATCTAGGCGTTCGGCCTGGCTGCCGGACTCCCCTGGTTGTGCGTGCAACGTTCGCCACGCCCTGAGCGCAATAGCTCTCGATATTTTCAAAGGTCGCGGCCAGACTGGGCCGTGTTTTCAAGGCGTTTCCTTGCCGTTCAAGACCAACACCTTCAGTGTGGTCTAGTTGCCGGCCGGGACTTGCCAAGTCTCGCCGCTGTACAGCCTTGTCGAGGCGGAGAGAAGCGTTTCCGTGCCATACACCAACGTGCTGCGGACAAGGCAGCCCTGACCCGTGGACCTGACTTGCGTTTTGACTTCGCCGACCTTTGGAGAGCTGTTTCGACCGGTTGAGGCGCTCTGAGCGGCAGCTGTGAGAGTTTGCACAAGCGTATTTGCATGGTTGGCTGGCAATGGGATGTTTGCTACCCGTTTGAAGCTTCTCCTTGCTGTCGCCACTACTTTTGTTCGTCGTTGTCGGCGCGAAAAGCAGTTCTTCGTGAAGAGCTGGCTCATGAGAGGGGCAAAAGTTGGGTCGCACAGTGAACCCTCAACTGACGTGGTGCTGAGGCTGTCCGCATGGCTCAACCGCCCGTTTGAGGGTGATTTTACTGCGCTATCTCCGGGGACAATGGCCAGAATGGACTGCTGCCATTTGCACCGCCAAGCCCATCTTTCTATCAACGACACAATGTGGAATGGATATCACCATTTTCAGGGCTCCGCAATGGAGACGCACAAAGTGCATTGCCACATGCCCCACATATCACAAGCATGTCGCCATCCCCCCTCACTCCTGTGTCATTCTTTGCTCGTTGTGTCAGCGCGTGGCCATTACGGGCCGTTGCTCATTCTGCATGCACATGCTTCGCCGATCGGAGATTGGCACAGACACCTGTCAGGGGAACGCCAATTGGGGTTGAGCAGTGGTCGCCCAACTTCCTACCATCCCTTGCACAACGAGGCACATTTTGCGTACTGCTCGGATCGCCAATAAACGCTTACAATTCAAATCAAAGTATCAACACACAAATGGACCCACCACGGCATTGCCGCAAGATGCAAGGCGGGGCAAACCCGCAGACAGCGCCCGCCAGCCAGGGTCCTGACGCTGACGCGCGCGTTGCCGCTTCGCCAAACCTTCTGGCGGCCTTTCACTTGCCGCGAGCAGGGCCGCGCGAGGGGCAAGATGCCCGCTGCTTCCCAACGGCTCGCCGCACATGGCAAACGCAATCCCCAGGATGGCGGGCGCATCAGCCCAAGGGGTCATATCACCCCCCACCCCTGCGCCCACCTCCGGAACCGTATTCAACATACATTGCAACAAACCCCCTGAAGGGTGTTATCAAGGGGCAAAAGGCCTCATGCCCGTACCCCTTTCCGACAATCTCGTACAAATTTTCAGGGCGCCCAACGCGACTGATGGTGCCCATAAGGGCTTACCGCCTGGGGCCAGCCCGCCATCCGGCCAACCTGACGTGTTCCCAGGTCCGGAGTGCTGATCGCATGTGGCCCATAGGGCCGGGGGTCCATTGGCCATTCGATATTTTTCCACCTCCGCTCCCAAACGGGCGCCCGCCCCACGCACCCCCGACCCGCCCCTAGCCGCCGATAGGCAAGCCCCGGGGGCGGGATACCTTCCGAGGGGGAAGATCCGGCCGGCCGCCGCTCTGACAAGAGTCTGCGCGGGGCGCCTGTCGGCATGGCCTGCTTTGATGCGGGGAGCGAGCGGGGCGACCGGCGGGCGATCCCGCGTTCAAAGGCTCCCCAGCGATCGCCCTCCGCGCATCCCAGGCACTCTGTGCGCCAGGCGCTGCTGACGGAGGAGGTGGGCGCCCATCGACCCCGGGCGGGGGCCCACGGGCCGGCGTTGGCAATGTCGACACACCGCCGCTGAACTGGGCGGACATTTGGCTTGCACATCGCGCTTCCGCGCTGGGCGCGATTTCCTCAGCGCGTTCTTGCGCTTTTGCTATGGCCACCGGACTGCGCCAGGTCACGAACCGGAACTGGGGGAAGGGCACGCCTTATCCGATTCCCCGTTTGGCGATCAGCGCCGTGGGGCTGCCGGAGAACGGGGGCGATTCGACGGTCATCTTTCGGCTTTCTGTGGCCCAGGACTTGGTCGTGGCAGAGGAGGGGCTGGCGGTGGGCGGGGGGGGCCCTGACTGGTCGCTCTACTGCCTCTGCGACGGCCACGGGGGCGACGTCGCGGCCGGCTACGTAAAGTGCAACCTGTGGACTGTCCTGGAGGCGCTCCTGCCGGAGGAAGATGACAGCGGGCGTCAAGGTGGGCTTGAGGGGGGCCCGGGGTGGCGGGGCAGGGCAGTCAGCACCGGGAGGTACAACTCCTGAGGTACTGCCGGTACTGCTCATGTGATGCGTGATGGCCCTGGTTGGCTGGGATCAGGGTCGTGGGCGGGTTGACGGGGGTCCCGCGGCCGGCGAATATGCCAGTAAACTTGGCCGTACGTGGGCCACGGGGTGTGGCATGTACTCAACTCGCGCAGTCAGGTGCTCACGTGCATGTTTTTGTGGCGTCAAAACGCGGAGGTGACAGCCGCCCCTTGGGTCGTCCGGTGTGACCATAACTCAATCCGGGCGGCGCCAGGCCACATGCACAGCACGTGCGCGCTGGGTCGCTGCACGGCGGGAACAGCGCAACCACATCCCAGGCCCGCGAATGAGTGCTCGATTCATCAGTTTGTTGATTGACTGACGCCCCGCGAGGCCTCGCGGCAGGGCGCGACGCGCCACCGCCCTCGCATTTTGGGCGCGGGGGACTGTGGGATTCTGCCATAGCGACATCAAGCGGTTGTCGTGAGAAACGAGGCAAGCGTGGCCCATCATGTGCCCGTTGGAGGACATGTGCTCACCACGGCCGCCATCAGATCGTCGTCGAGATACATCATAACGTTGCAGACATGATGCTATTGTAGCAATCGTAGCAATGGTAGGAGCATTCGTGGGGGTAGTAGAAGCGACAGTGGTAGCAATTGTAACAGTAGGGGTGGGAGTGGTTGGTCCAATTGCGCTTGCAACTGCCGGGGGCAATTGCCGAGGGTGCACAAACCTCCCACCGGGCTACAGGAGAACAACTGGCGAGGTGAGTTCAGCGCGCTGCGAGCTTGGCGCGTCTACGGTGACCCTGCCACCGTCTTGCACGATGCTCCTGCGGACACGTCGTGCTGACAATCGTGTCCTCACTGAATGCCCCTCCGCTGCTCTCTACAGAGAGCAAAGTTCGACCGCATTCATAAGCTGCTGACGTAAGTTGCTGGCCTCGTGCCGTGAGTGCAACCAAGTTGACTGACGGGGACAGGCGGCGCAGCACGTTCGGCGTTGGCGAGCGCGATTGAAGTAAAAGGGCGGACAAACTTGGAATCGCGGGGCAAGGCACACTTGGGCAAACAAGACATCGCAATCATGCCCAGCCACGATGTCTGCGCATCAGCCTCGTTATCCTCAGCAACAGGGCTGCCACATGCCCCAAACAGACACGGCACATTCGTAACGTCCGTTACAACATCTCAGGAGGAACACATTCGTCCCGCAGACCACACGAATCACATTGCTGCGGCTGTATTCCAAACTGTGATCGCCACTGCACTGATGGGACCCTTGGCACCACCGCGACTGCATGAGTCATACGGTCATGTGCGATCGCCGGTTGGAATCTGCGCCAATATTCGAACCTGTTTTGGAATTAGTCCGGGTAGAGGCGCCAGTAGTACAGAGCCAGCTGTCACATCACAACTGGGGTTGCGGTGCCGTCCGGTCGTACCCCTTAATCAGGGCTGATGCACGAAATGTGGCTGCATGGGGCATGATCGCGTGATGCCTTGCGAAAAGTATTTCCGCACTGCAAAAAATGTTAAAACCATCCGCACAATAACATAACGGCTGGGCACTGTGGAGAAGACGTTATAGAACTTTGCAGAGCAACATCAAAACAAATAGCGCTCGGGAAAAATTGCGGAGCATGGGGCATAACAATTAAATTTTTGATGTGGAAGGGTTGAATAGTTTACAATACACTCAAATTGTTGTCGCCGCAGTGATATCGTTGATGTAGCATTGCAACTGTTATTCTGGAGCGCTGCCAGATGTTGCGCCTGCTTTTGGAGCACAGGACTGGCTACAAGTGGCTACCATCAGCAAACTCCGCAAAGTCACCCTTTCAGGAAATGTGCAGCACTCATGTACTATAACATACTGAGCCTTGCACCACAGATTCCTAAAAGAAGGTTCAAACGACACTGATTGCAAGGATGTGGTCGCAGGTCTTGAACAATTTGCGCTGGAAGTGAGGGAAGCGGTCATTAAGGCTTTTGTGAGGATTGGTTATCAATTCAAGGTCGAGCATCCTAACGACACCTCCGGTAAGCGTCCAATTGCGCGCGTGCAAAAGAGTTGTGCGTAATCACTTGGGGAAGACGCTACTTTGAATTTCGTATGCTTGGTGTCAATGTCGGTGTCACGCGTCAATGAGCTCAGACACCCCCGTTACTCTTTGTGGTTGTCTTGGTGGCTGAAGCATGCATCGGCGTACAACGTAGCTGTTGTAGTTTGCGCTGTTTTCTTGTATCGCACGCTTATGTTTGCTCCTTTTCCGCCACTGCCATACCAGTGTTCATACGTGGACCCAACTTACACACTGTGGGTACCATGGGCAAATGTTTATTTTGCCGTTTTGCTGTGCATAAGACCTGACCCTCAGAACTACCGCTTTTATTTGATCACGTTATCGTGCACATCTTTGTTTCGTGGTTAATTTTTGGCCACAAGCAATTCACTTGTAGCCAATATGACTGTCTTAAAGTCAATTTGCGCATGCAACTGCTTTCCAATCTTTCCAATTGTCAGGACATGTATTTCCAATCCATTTCAAGGACTTCGATCGCCTGAATGCAAACGAACGGCCCCACTGATGGCAAATCTGCACAACCAGCATGTAGACATCCGTCTTCACATAGGTGCATATATGTGTCCGCACGCACGTGCACACGAAGGACCTAAAACCCTAAAACATCCTAAAAGGAACCTAAAGAACCTACACTATACGGACAACAAAAGCCCGCACCGACGCGTCGTCCCACAGGTCTGCTCTTGGCAAACCGCACCGCTCGCCGCCTCCCGTGCAGCCGCGCGCGGAACAGCTCCCGACTCTCTCCTCACCCGATCGGCACGACGACTATGCGTATCGCCTTTCCTCCACCCTCCCTCTTATTCCCTGCTGTCACCATGCATATTTCGATCTTTGCCGGGCTTTTCTCCAGCGGCATCCCCCCCATTTCCAGTGGGTAGGCACGCGAGTCGCACAGCGAACTCGCCGCGCTGAGAGTTTTGACCACACACAGCTGCGCGAAAGAAACTTCTTTCAAAAGACGGCCTCAAGAATCCATCGCGCCTTTCTTGTCGAACAGCGCGTTGGAAATTCATCGCCGCTTGTCGCCATCAAGAAAACGTCCCAGAAGTCCATCGCGCCTTTCCTCTCAGAACAACGCCTCGGGAATCCATCGCGCCTTCTCTTTAGAACAGCGCCTCAGGCCTCCATCGCGCCTTTTCTTTCAAGCAAATGCCTCAGAAGTCCATTGTCACTCTTCTTTGAGAGAACGCCTCAGAAATGCATCGCCCCCTTTTTCCAACTCTATCTGCCGCTGAACGGCGTTGCTGAATCGCCGATTCGCTGAGGCTCCGCGCTCCCCCCCCGCCCTAGGCGCTTCCGTGACGATGGCCCTCCACTGCGGCCGCCTGCTGACGATCGCCAACGTGGGCGACGCCCACGCAGCCGTGGACACCGGCCGCGACGTCCTGCTGGGCACTGTCAGCGACAGGATCGAATCCAACCCCGCCGAGCGTCGCAGGCTGGAGGACGCCGGCGCGCTGCTGGCGCAGCGGTCGGCGCGCTACGCGGGGCCGGCGCTGCCCGGCGAGAGCGGCGACGGGCCGATCAGGTGCTGGCCCGGCGGCGTGATGGTCTCCAGGTCGGTCGGGGACGTCCCGTGTGGGGAGGGGGTCCTCTCCTGGCCCCACGTCTGCCAGGTGCGGCGGGGCCTTCGATTGAGCTCCGGTTGGCTTTAGCGACCGTTTGTTGAGCTCCCTGTTGGAATTTCTGCGCCTGAATGCGGAGTCCTGAATCCTGAAGTTGAATTCTGAACCTGAGGATGGCTGCCTTTGATTGACCGTTGGTTGACATTCCTCTTCGAAACTCTGCGCCTGAATCCTGAATCCTGAATTCTGCACCTGAGGATAGTTCGGGGCAAGGAAGCGAACTTGTTGTGCACGCTTTGCGCCCTCTTGGGATGCATCTT